TGAATTTATTATTATTATATAATTCCGATTTCAATTAATATATTTATTAATATATTTATTAATATGTATTATGAGAAAAGTTTGTCTAATATCTGGATTAATGAATAAACCTTTTGATGAATAATAGGTAGACCTATAAGGTACGTTATTTATAACATTTTATATATGTGACAAATATGTATCTGTGAATTCATTGAAACAGATGAATTAACATAATGATAATGAGGCCATGATGGCTAATACTTGTGTTTAAGCGGTTCCAGTGATTTTGGATGCATTTTCAATCATTGCATTTGGAATTTGAACAGACAGAGCCGTAAATTCATTACGCGTGGACAATTTACGTGCACATCCTGTGACTCTATGACGACATTTATATATTCGTGTGTAATTACACGCATGTAACGGCCACAACGTGAGAAAGCCCTCATATAACGTCATTAATGTGCCTCGCACAAAAGCTTATGACCCGTGTTACGTATCGGAAGCAACGCAGCAAATTAACCTTAATTTTATTTTCGATCGAACACTGCCTATACACGACCGTAACGTTCATTTAACACAGGCACTTCCTAATATAGCATGTTGTGAAGTGTATCGAGTGCTTCACAATAAGCACACATTTAATTCTTGAAAAAGAAATATGTTAGAAAAATATTAATCAATAAAACTCAAAATCAATAAAATTTACTTCATTTAAGGGCCGATTTTGTTCCATTTTGGATAAACTACGTGATAATTCTAATGAATAAACAAAAGAGTAAGAACATAAGAGAGTAAGAGAGTTCGAAAATAAATTGAAATTTATCAAAAAATGAAACAACCCAGCCTTAAAGTTAAGAAATTTAAAGAAAGACATTAGAAAAATATTAATTGATAAAATTCCAAATAAAATTTATTTTGATGTTAATTTGTTGTAATTTGAACAATATATAGACATTGAAAAAGTTTTTTTTTTTTCGACGAATTAAACAGCAACATATTTATGTACAATATATATCTACGTAATTTATTTTTTAACTTGTCTCTCGATTGCAAAAATGGTATGTTGATTTATTTTATTTAAAAATAGATAATATCAACCTTATTATTTGTATTTAAAAAAATTTACTTATCACATTACATTACATAAATTTTATTTTAATGCTACTACACGTAATATGATATAAATAGCGGACGGCTCTCGTGGAAATAATAATAAATCTCTAATACGATCTCATATATCTTTTCGAAATGCGAGTATCTTAATCTTGGGCTTTATATTCAATTACGGTAGCACTATTGTTATCATTCGTATAAAATCCGCGTTGCACGAAGCGCTTACAATTTCAGAATTATGATAATACTCCGGAAAAGAGGAAACAACATAATTCTAAAGATAAAGATAAAGCCACGTGTATAACAGTGCAAATTGAACAATATGAATGATAATGTTTCCACATTTTATAAGCTTATTAATATTTTGTCTCGCTTATATTTCAATTGAAATTGAAAGAGAATTGAATACAAAATGAAATTAGCATTGTTTAAGATAGTTGTTTGTAGAAATGGTATTAAAGAGAAAGATACATATATTAGCATTTTATATTTTATATTTATTACAGAAGAGGTATTATATTTATAATATGTATAATATGAATAATTGAATGAATAAAAAACAAATATTAACATTTTTTTTATTTGTTATTTTATTCTTTTCTAAATTTAATTGAAATAAAATTATTTGATTGAGAGTAAAATAAGTAAATGCGAATTGTGAAAAAAAAATCTAAATTAGAAAAATTTTTAAATTAAATTATTTGGTAATAAAAATCGTATCGATTAAATATGCTTTAAGAAAATGTCATTGTTCAAAGTGATCGAACTGTGCGATAAAGTATGACGGACAACGCTCCTTTGGTTGTCATATACTGCGCAGGATGCGATGAACAATGTCCGCGTGTACCGGAAATAAGAACCGGCGCGTACGAGTTGACCATTGTCATTTAGTAACCCTCCGTTCCATTTGATTCTATTCACGCCCCAAGAGAACCGGATGTGAGGTCAGCCGCGGCTCGTTTAAGTTTGAAACCGCTCCGACGGCTGTACCGAAAAAAGAAATGTGCGAACATAACTGTCTTTATGATGTAGGGCGGTTGTAACGCGAACGGCAATACTGGTCGCAATATTATCTCCGTACTCTAATATCATGCGAAATAAGACACAAAGACTTTACATTTGACTTTACTTTACAGTTATCTTCTGTTGGGTACGAAAAATATCAGTAGATAAAAAATTTAAAGCAAATCAAATGTAATATAAGCTGTCATATAATCGAAAATTTTATTGATTGATAATTTGAGTAATAATTATAGTAATAACAACAAAATGATGATAAGAGTCAAAATGCAATTAGTGGTGGCAAATTATTCAATGTGTTTTTAAATGCTATAATTCAAGCGTAATTAACCTGTCATATAATTAATTAAAAATAGGATAATGTAATTATTTCTTTGAAACATTTGCAATGTTTGAATAAAAAAAGAGATAACAAAAGACATTATTATGCAAAAGCTTATATCACTTTTTTGTAAAAAATGAACAAACATTAATTTTTTACGAGAATAAATAAAGGTAGAAAAATATATGCATTCGACTTTCGGAGTATATTTAAATAATATTTTTTCAGCTACGTAAATTAATCTCAGCTTTCACAATATAATTACACCAATCTACAAGATTCTTCCGCATCGGAAGTGCGTGCATCTCATCTCTGAAAATTATTTTGTCCAGTTCTATCTAGTACGCGTGTTACGCTGTTTCTTTTACTTTTATCCGCCTTCTCTTCTCTAATTGTTATTCTTTTACGTTGTTACAAGCAGATGTTGTAAGGACTTCTAAGAACAACTCATTCCGCTATTTCCAATTGTTGCGTTAATGGTATGCGAATTTCTCGCAATCACACGAAACGATAACAAATTTCACGTTTGTTCCATCGTGCAACGACGCGAGCTGCCAAGTAAGTGTCTTTGTGCGGAAACCGCGTACTCGCAACAAGACAATACCACAGAGTGTTTTCAAGAACTCAATCCACATCATGCAGCAACTGTTTCTAACAACGTATCGGGTCCCGCATCCTCCGG